GATTTTGTAATCGGAGGTTTTTGTTGACCCCGAAGGAAAAAATATCCAGAAAAGGTCATTTCATCGACGATTCAAAGGTATATAAATATGTATATGTTCTGAGCTAAATTTCTGCTGAAAAAATATAATTTTTGACGAACGCTGGGTCTTTAATTTTTTCCCGCGAAAGTCAGTATCGGAGATGAGATTTATTAATGTTTCAACAGCTTTTGGCAAGTAAACATCACAGGTTGCGTGACTCAAAATTTGGTCGAGTGGAAGCTTGGGTCTGGTCGCAGACAAAACTGCGAAAAAAAAAAACCACGGGTAAACCATGAACCGCGCTCGGCCCATGGCCGCGCGGTTAACTACATCTACTCCACCTACATGTATATAATAATCACAGTGCTCACCAGAACAATGAAGATTGCCAACTGTAAAGTTAGCTTCAGAACCCTTGAGTGGGTCGACATCCCTGAACACCACTTGGGTAACAGGAAGGTCAGCTGTTGCTGTCAGGAATCCTTCATCTTTCGTCCAACGGCTGGATCGGGCATCACAGTTACACTTCTTGTTTTTGTCTGGCAGACAAGTATCGTTCACTCCACAAGCACACGATTCTGAATTTGGCGGGGCTCCACCCCAATAATCCTGGTACACTCCACCAGCAGATACCCAATTGCCAAGTCTGTCCTTTTCCCCAGCATTGAGAAGCTTAGCATTTTTGCAACCAAACTCAATGAACTGCTTACAGTTTGCACTGTTCATGGCCAAGGCTTTGGCAAAATCTAAGCTTGGATAATACCTTATGTCAGCAACGTAAGGCTGTGTGATGGTTCCTGCGTTGTTCTCAGTAATAACCTTCACATTTTTATCTTCACTGTAAACTACCGTGATGGGAGGATCAGCTGTCATGTTGCAAAAAATTCCAGAGCTAGCCTTGAGTGGACCTGGGCCATCAAGATCAAGGGTCCAGTTTCCATCTTTTGCATTGTCCTTTACTCTTTTCTTCAGTTGCTCACAGTTTTGGCTGGATTCAGCTGATGATGCAACACAAAAGAATGGTTAGCTAGAAGTACAAATGTATAGTAAACACTAGTTATGCAATGCTTTTGAGTGGTATACCATGGAATATCATGAGTCAGTTGTAGTTTTTTGGTATACACACAAGCCTTCAGGTGAGCATGTATGCAGTACCAGTCAAAGGGAATGCAGCATTACTCCCGCATACAGCATGTGTACTACACGCACCTTACACGTAAATACATGCAAATGCATGTAACCGATTACACCGAGTAGACTTGATATTGTGCGTAACATTACACACAGTCACTCACCTGGGACTCATATGTGCGTGTAATGAAAATAAAACATTTACTGTATGACATTTACTGTCAGTATTGGACTACACTGCAATACAGTTTACTCTTTCACCTTCTTGCGTCTGGCCATTAAACATTTCCAATAGAATCAACCAGTTTCCTTAAACCGGCTTACCGCTTTACAGTAACAGTTTTTTTTTCCATTGTAGTTTCAACATGCAGCAACAACAGGTGCCAGCCACTGACAGAATGTAAACACGAAAGTGAAATAACAGCAAAACAAATAATTTTGCTTCTGATTTTCAGCGAATTTTAAATAACAATTTTCATTTTAAGTTTCAAGACCATTTCAAGATTCATCATTGATATTACGTTCCCAAATGTGTTATTCCAGAAAATATCCATACACCTCTCACAGAAGGTTTTGTAGCTTAACCCCCTCCCCCCAACCCTCTGGAATTTCCACTTTAATGTCATACCTTCCTCTAAAAAATTGTGCTTTGGAAACCCCACTTCCCATTGGAATTTCCATCAACCTTCCTTGGGGTGGGTATAGATATTCTCTGGAACTACACAATTATGCGAAAGTTGTTTACCGCAAAAATTGTTTAGTTTGGCTTGAAATGAAATTCGCTGTTGTCTTGAATATCATTGCCTAGCACAAGACCAAAATCTACCCAGGCGGAAATCTAGTGCAGTGCAGATAGGTATCCATTTCATTTCTAATCCTATACACATATATACAGAAGTTCCGAATGTTTGTCGTTTAATCAGAAGTGTGGGCAATTTGCTGATTAAGAGAGAGTCATTGAGTTTCTGTTTGAATCCGTATTCAATCGTAATTGAAAGAACAGGAGTTGCAATTGAATTGAATTGAACTAAATTTCGTGCATGGGTAAACATTACGTTGTGGTGAACATTGCACAAGTTTTAACATAAACAAAAGCTCAGGATCTTTTAAGAATTAAGCAGAAGTACAGGCTGCAACAGATTAAGAGAGAGTATTTGATTGATATCTATTGTGCATTTATACACGAGCTAGTCCGTTAGTTTACGTAGTGCTTATCAGCTTTTTTAATTTTACTTCTTTTTGTTGAGAACATTGAAAGTCACGCATTTCGAATACCAGTTGGTGGTGCTAATTTGTTTTGCAAAAATACACGCAAATGAGTATATGAATAACAAAGGTTTCTTCTTCCAATTTTAACACACGCATTCGCGTGAAATTACACTCAAATGTGTGCAACTACCAGATCAGTAAATTTTACACATGTGATCTTACATGCACTGTCCACGAATACTACACGCATATTACACGCATTTCATGCGCATGTAGGTGCTGCAATCCCTTCGACTGGTGCTGCACCAAGACAATACAAGTGACAAAAGGGACATTCTATGGTATATGGCCAGAGAGCATTGCATATTTTAAAACCTGACATAGAAAATACAGTGGTCAACACAACCAATGAGAGATATGCGTGGCGCATGATGGGAAGGTTGGGTGTAATACCATCAGTATACAATGGCTTTCCTGTATTCTGATTGGCTGTTATCTCTATGGCACGGTATAAAAGCACATATATGTATACAGCTGTTTTGAGAAAGGTTGTCATACAAATGTATACAGGCATGCATGACAATGTCAAAAAGTCAGAAGTCTCCCATGTACCCGTAGGAGATTAAGGGCACGTTCCATTCAACCAAAATTTCTGGAAATTTCAGTCTAAAACTAAATGGATCGGTTCAGTCCAACCTGAAAAGTTTCGAAAAAATCAGTCCACCTTTCAGACCACTCTTCTCGGTTGGACCGGTCCAATCGAAATGGACCGTTCCATTTGACCATTCCAACCCATTCTCAATCCTAGTACCTCGCTGTTCAGTATTTTCAATGTATAACATGGAGGGAAACACATCATTGCAGCAATTATGGATTGTTAACAGCGGATCCATCAGTGTTACTCATACATCCATGTGCAGTTACAACAGGTCTATGGCTGCTTCGCAAGCTAAGTGTGTGTTTTGCCTGTTAACAGCTCTTAAAGACAATTTATTTCCTGAGAGAATTTGGAATGTTCTTTTCATCATTCAAAAGTGGCGTTTGAACTCATACGAAAAAAAAATGTGGGAACAGTCTACTCAAAATAACCTGTTATACTGGTTAAATTACTATGTATGGAACAGCTCACACAATATCACTGATATCACCACTGAAATTGTACAAGCAACAGTGATCCAACATCCCCCATTTTAAATGAGCGTGCAACTCGTTTTGCGAGTGGAATGAAATGAGACCGTTCGAGCCTGTCGCGATCCATTTGACACCAAGAAATTTTTTGAACCTCAGCCCAGAAATTTTGGTTGAATGGATCGTGCCCTAAAATTAGACTTCTCGAAGATTTCAATTGAACTGTCTCAAAGAGGACTGAGTGAGGGAGTGTATTACATGTATGTAAGCTGAAGCTCGACACACAATACAGTATGTCAACTCTCTGGAAATAATTCATTGAAGGACTCTGAATAAAGATGGTTTTTGAGAATTATTTATATTAGCATTATGAGAATTTAAACATTTCTTTTGGATTTCAATTTAAAAAATTCTGTTTTGTAGCTGAGTGAATGACACCTGTACTCCTTGATTTCTAATTGAGATTAAGCCTGAATAGATCCCCTGCTTATGAAGGCATATGGTTCTGCCCTCAAGAAGTCCACTTAAGGTCATCCATCCAGAAAGAAAAATAGTTATTTTGGGTGCTTCATTACTGACATTCAATAATAAGAGGTTGCTGTGATCATTAAAAGATTTTAGAAAATAGCCCAAGAGGAAATATGCATGTTGATTGGTGTAAAATCATGTTTCTATTTGACAATTAGATTATGAGCTCAAGATTTCTGAGGTGATAGTTTCTGAGGCCAAAGGCCGAAACAACTATCAACTCTGTTCACAGAAATCAAAAGTGCATAATTTAATTGTTTTAAGAGAATTCTAACTGAAATAAACGTAGAAAACGGTTTCCAACTTTTTCCACCACTCGCTTACACAGAGTTTCAAGAGCTGAATTTTGTAAGCAGAAATTTACAGTTGTTTTCGTGCACGCGCCCTTGTTTTCAATAATTTCAAAATTTTTAAGGTCAAAAAGCCATTAATGTCCTTCTTTTAGTCTCCTCAGGAATCTTCTTATCCATTTGCATTTAAACAGAGTCCAAACATTCTTCCAAATTTCGGGAAAATGTAAAAACATTGCCATTTCGTTGATGACCGGCAGCCACTGCATTCTAAAGGCTGATAGTATATGAGTAGGTCAGCCAATCAGATTGCAGCATTTGCATTAGTATACTAGTAGGATTCTACTAAAACTTGATAGAAACACAGAACTAGCACAAGCTGTGGATGTAATGATGGCATGAACAAAGAGAATTGACATTTTGATGATCAAAGTACACAAGTAGTTTTCTTTTTTTCGTGGCAGACTGTTTAAAAAGAATTAGAACACATGTTCTCTGTGTTCCCATTAAGTTATAGAAACACAGTTTGGGAGAACTCATAACATGTTTTCTATTTCTTAAAGGGAATTTGTGCATACTTACGGAATTGGCACATGGGTGCTTTGTATCCAGAGGCAGTGCAGTCACATGTAAAGGTCCTCCCATCCTGAGAACAGCTGCCTTTGTTCAAGCAGGGGGAGAAGATGCATAGGTCAGTGATGTTGCAACTGTCTGTCTCCACATTCTTAATTGCAGACACTCCCTTAAGTGGTTTCTTTTCTTCGTTATTGACCTTAAGATCTCGCATGCAACCAGTGAACCCACCAGCTATTGCCTCGGTACTGAAAAAATTAGCTGGGAATGATATAGAAGGAGCCTTTGAGGTTGGTGTTTTGGTGCCAACTGTCAATGAAATGGATAGTGCACTGATGCCAAACTCAATAGTAAGCCAGTTGCCGCTATTCACCTTCTGTTCATTTGCACCAAACGTCACAGATACATCTGTATCTGTATTGCCAATTTTCACATTCAATCCAATATAACGTTCCAGGTAGGATATTGTAAAACCATTGTCTCCATTAACTTGCTTTAATAAAGTTCCAAATTTCTTATATGATCGAAACTTGAAGCTTCCAGTCATTTCATTGTTTTTCTTAACTTGAAAGGTGAAGCTTGAGTCTGGGCCATCAAAAGTGTACGGTTCAAAGGAGGGTGCTGAGGGGCATTCCTTATTCATATCTACATTCACAGCATCAGCGACACCTTTGACAAGGAATTTAATAGGATTCGCCATTCCTTCAGGTTTGAATTCCACATCAGTCAGGCAACCCATGAAAGGTGCATTTGATTTGACCCCTTGTAAGTTCTGGAAGCTAGGCGCACCGCCTACATATATGGCAATGTCAGCCTCCAGCTTCTCATAACGTGTCTTGATTTCACGTGTTTCCTCATCCGATGTTCCTTGATTTAACACAATGGTTGTACTAAATTTAACGTGTTTCACAACTACTTCATGTACTTGGCCATTGCTTAGATCCTTGCCTAAGATCTCTGTCTTTTTATCATCTTCACCTTTTCGACTTCCAAGCTGCATGCCAAAACTGTGTATAAGAAAAACAGAATTTTAAAAGATATTTTTAGCAAGTAAACTAATTTGCAGTTAGAATTGAATGCGCCGTAACACAATATTTTGTGATGGCACTCCAGCACAAAAAATTTCCATTTGCTGATCACACTTTTAACTTTATTTTCTCCAACAAAAAGCTTTAATAAACATTAAATTGACAAGTTTTCACACATCAACGCTGCCTGTCGAGTGGAATGCTTGTGTCACATTCTTCTTGAAAGTATCAAGCTTCTAAAGAATGGAACATTTTCTACTGTGTAGAGTGTATATGACATTCTAATGCTTGTTACCATCAACATATGCCCTACTGATCAGAAGAATCTATCAGTTATAAACATTACATTTTAGATGCAAATCCATGAAAGAGGTAACATTTAAATAGAACGATGCTGGACATTATCCATGCACCACATACAGCTGTACACTGTATGCTTTCTAACAAGCAGGTAGTTTCATTGTTGCATCATGTGAAATTTTGTTTTGAAAATAGAGAGGCAGGTAGTTAGTTTTGCTTTGAACAATAACAGTAAAAACTGAAAAACAGTTGTTATTGACAGATTCTCTTTCCTTTTGGAGATGAAAAAAGAATCACTGGCTGTGGGATGCAAAACACAATACTCTAAGTTGCACTGTACATGTATATGTGCGAGCTGCAACCCTCCCTTAAATGAAGCAGTAAACAAATTACACAATGTTTGTGTACTAATTATTGTGACACTATACAATATTTATGGCCACAGTACCATATTCTTCCACCACAGAGCTCAAGTGTGAGGTAATCTCCTAATTCACCACCCGAGTTTTGGGTGTGAAATAGCAGTCCAGTGGGTTGAACGGACTTGAATTTGACACGTAGTTCATCCTCATTGGAGTTGATTGGTTTGTTTGCTGCCTTTCCTACAATGTCATACTTCAGATATCCATTGCCAGAAAATTCTCGAGACACTGCAAGATATGAAAGAAGATCACAATGAAAAAATAGTCAATCTAAAAGCAAAAATGTGTAGGTCCAGAAATATCCATACCTCCCCCACGGAGGGTCATGGAAATTTCCAGGGGTAGGGGGCCTGAAAGAGGTAAATTTCCGAAGGGGAGGGGGCTACTCAAGGAGTTTTCTTTCCAGTGGGTCTGAAATGCGAATGAATGAACACTACAGTACTTTCCCAATTGATTCAGGTAACCAAACCAACAGAAATGTTCCATCCGTTGGGAAATAAATGTTAGATTCTTTGTCATATATTTTCGATGTTTCTAACGACATCATAACAGACAGCAATCCGGAGTATCGTGTTTGTTGGACCTCAAGTTGAACAAAATGCCGACGAAGAGTTGCAGCAATACATGAACAATGAAGTTGATATTTTATACTTTGAAGATTGTGCTGTATTTAGCTTACATGCAGCTCAGATGCTTTTTCCAGCATTAATCATGCTGTCAATTAAATGCGATTTGTACTTTGTTTATTTCGTTTGATACTCATACAAAATTATTACCTGTTTCGGACTTGCTGTAATGAGGTTATCACATATTTTTCATCGTTATCCATGTAGTTAATAGTTTGCTTTAAGTGAGCAAAGTCGATTCAAAGCCATTTGCCTTGAACTATATATGTAAACGTGGACAGCGAGGAGCATTGTAATTGGAGCAGTAGCCGAGATTTCATTCGGTCATTTATAGACCGACTGATCAATGAATGTTTCACGTATGAAATGTATGATAATTCAAAAAACTAAGGCATAAAATGAATTTACTACCATTTACAAACTACAGCAGGGCTGGAAATAACAGTCGGTCATCGGACATTGTCTTACCAAATTTTGAATATGTCCGGCCAATTTCACATTATGATTGGACATGATGTCCGAACATTTTACCAACCCCAAATTATTGTCCATCAATAAAATTTGGTTAGATACATTGTTAAAAGACTCGAAATTGCAATCAGTATGGTCGCCACTGCGGCTAAAATTTTTATCATTGGCAGCCAAAAATTCTGGTCGACAGCCAAAATTACGTCTGCATTCAAAGGCTACCAATGGCGACTACGTTTCACTGTGTTGACGATCAATAACAGTTATTTTCTCAGACATTATGTCCTTCCAGAACTACATAGTGAAAGACCTTTGCTTCTATAACATTCAACATAAGAAAAGAAAGCAATCTATCCTTTTGCTTTGCTGTAAAGGACTCCCCTATGGGGCGCCGTTTGTAAATTTATTATTTAGACCGAATTTATGCCATTTTCCCCTTATTTATAAATAATTGGAAATGCCACAAAATTTGTTTATAAATAAGACACAAGAACTTATCCGTT